CCTTCACTGAGGCTCCCCCAAACCGGTGCAGAACCACCGAGGTGGTTCCACCTCCTGCAACATCTCAACCCGGAGCCAAGAAATCCCAATTCCTGCCCATCCCAGGAGCCCCAAGGCTCCTTCCCTGCTTTCCCTGCCTCCTGCCCGGGATGTGCAGCAGCTCGGAGCACCAGGAGGAAGGTCCTTCAACCCCTTCCAGCCCCGTTTTGCTGCAAGCCAAGAAGCAGGGCCTGGAGTGGAGGTTGCAAAATTGTGTGTCCCCCCCCACCCTGCTTTGGAGATGTCACCACCACGAGATGTTTCCCAGGGATGAAGAAGCAGCTGAGGGTGGGTTTGATGGGCTGGACCATCCAAGCAACAGCCTGAAGAGCATCACAAGTGAAGAGAAGGGTCAAGTGGGCAACGTTTCCCTTCAGGTGGTCGAAGTTCTCCAGCTGTTTTGGGGAGGGGGGGGGAAGGAGGGGGCCAAAAAAAATCTGGAAGGAAAGAGGTGGGAAACAATTCCCGTCGTCCTGCTGGCAAAAATAAAGCCCTTCCCTCCTCTGCTGGTCTCCAGGTGGCTTCCCCAGGAAGGAGAAAAGCAGGATAAAGCAGCTCCAGGAACAGCTCCAGACACCCCAGGCCTTGGGGGGGGGGGATCCCCCCTTTGTACCCACGGGGAGGGAAAAAGCCGTTTGAAGGATCCGACCCCTCCACTTGGGAGGGGAAGGGAAAGGCTAAAAAAAACCAACCCCTGGTGAACACTTACCCCGGGCGGTGGGGAATCTGAAAAGAAAAGGAGGCAGGGGAAGGGTGGGTGGAAGTGGTTTGCAATGCAAATCTGCCTCGCCCCTCACGGCTCGTCTCCCTACAAGGGGGGAAAAAACGGGTGGGTAACATGTTTTCCCTCCCCATGGAGTTCCCAAGCGGTTCGGAAGCCTCCAGGGGGGTTTTGGTGGGTGGGTTGTATTGGGTTTGGGGTAGGTTTTACCTGGTGGGAAGGGGATGGGAAAGGGGGAGAAAAGTGCTCACCTCCTCGGTGGATGATCAGCAGGTGACACGGAGGGGCCTCTTTGGTGCATTTGTTGTGGCACTTGAGCCTGGCAGGGAGGAGAGGGGGGAGTCAAAAGGGTGAGAAAGGGGATGGGGACGTGGTGGCCCAGGTGGGAGCATCACTGAGGATTGGGGACCTGATCCCCACCCAGGGAGGGGAGTCGGGGTCCTGTTACACCTGGTGCTCATTGCCTGGGGAAATCCTCCTGATCCCTGGTCCTGCAGCTCAGGCTTGGGGAGAGCATCCCAGAATCCCAGACTGGGTTGGAAGGGACCTTAATGATCATCTAGATCCAACCCCCCTGCATGGGCAGGGACACCTCCCAGCAGCCCAGGCTGCTCC